TTCCCGTATCCCGTGTCGAGCCTTTAGATTTATGCGCATTTTGCATATTTCTTTTTCTCCTCATTTCAAAAGCAACAAAAGCGACTTGGCCTCCGCTCCTGATTCAGCATCTTTTTCCTTTTTTCGTTGAGGGATGGATGGTGCTCCAATTTTCATTGCTCCGACTTTTATGACTTTGCCTGCCGCTGCTTTTGACTTTTATCGAATGCAAATTGTTTTATAATAATGCAATCAAATCTTTGTCAACTCTGTTTATTGATGTGTTTATTTTGTTTTGGTTTTTTGATAATGCCGGCAGCTGAATATCATTTAACAAGTGGAATACATTTTGAGAGGAGCCCTCCGGAGTGTCGAAGTTAACAAGCTTATGATGTTTACTAATAGGTTTCCCCCCGGGGTTTCGAATTATTTTGTTTGCTGGGATAACCGGATTTTAATTTTTAAGGATGTAACTTTTCAGGACCTTATGAGGAACTGGATTACGTAAAAATCTAAACAAATGCAATAAAAGTCAAGCGTATAATTAAATGTTTTATCTGTTTTTTTTTGTATGATTCCTATTTAAATCAGATTTTAATAAGACATTTTTTTATAACCTCAAAGGAAATGTTAAACTAAATTTTACTGAGAACTTAATTAGTTGTATAATATTTGTTAAATTTATTTTGATATTTATTAGGCATGTTTAATGCTAAGTCAATAAAAATAATTTTTTATTCAGTTAGATAGGTGTTTTCCTCAGCATGACTTACTGCCCTGTTACATAAATAAATAAAAATTGAATACCTAAAGCTGGAAAAACCCCACGTAACCCCCTTGAAATCACAATCTTGGCAAGAGTTGCACTGGTGACGTGACTAAGCCAGAATAGGAAAGACCACCCAGTGATACCAAGGCATTTACTGCAGCGTCTCTGCAAATGCTTCTTTACTTGTACTTACATTTCTTTTATTGTTTCCTGATTTCATTCTTCGTTTTGCTGGCAATGTACTTAAATCACGGGAAACGTGCCAAGCCAACAAACAAGGACAATATCAGAAGGAGTGACATTTACGAGGCAGGGTAGGTCACTAGCTGACGTTTTAAACTGGTGCATTTTAATGAATCGATCATCAGCCTGGCGTGCTTTAAAAATAACAAATTTTATGCATTGCACAGCGGTCACTACAATTATGGAAAAACATCAATGACAATGGCAATAACAACTACAACATCAACACAGGCACCAACAATAACAACACCATGAAACAGCGACAACAATAACAATAATTGTATTTACACATAATTGACCATAATCCCCAGCAGTATTCTCGTTATTCTGCCCCTGGCCCCTCGAAGGACAGATTTTTATACCCGTTTTTTGTACGCTTCCAGGGGTATATTGTTTTTAGTAAAATGCTTTCTGCTATAATGCATTTGCACATGTTTAATAATATAAACTGATATTGATATCCTTATAATCTCAATTCTGGTAGCATTTTGTGTTGCTTTTAATAAGGGAATTTTTTGATGCAGCAATATCATTATATTTTCCAGAGATACCATTTAATAATTATTAAATTGTAGTGTACAGAGATATGATATTTAATACAGTTGAAAAGATTTAAATGGAACAGCTAAATTGGCATACAACAGGTATACCGACAAGTCTGAAATCCTAAAATATTTTATTGTTTATGCTTGTGAAGATAATGCTTTAAGTACAGCATATATTTTGTAAAGGCCATCAAGAATCCCGGGTATCCCGCAGTCGTGTCACTAGTCTCGAGTGTGTTACTTCCTGGTGTTTCTTTTTTGGGGTGGTTGTTTTCGTTGTTTTGGTCGAGGACCATCACCAACTTCAACACCCAATTCGGTTGGTTGCCCATGAAAATGGCCGCAGGCGACATTTTATGTTGCTGCTGCTGTTAATGTTGTTTTCCGCCGAGCTCTGTTCGCATTGTCTGACTGTAGTTAAATTTAAATGCCAGTAGGCGAGGCGGCAAGGACTTCCACTCGAGGCCGGACCATAAATTAAATAAAATGAAATGAAATAATTTGGTCACGCACTTTCAACTGTTGACATTTTCCTTAACAGCTCCGCCCAGAAAGATTATAATTGCGGATAATTCAAGTCGCTACATTGATCCGGCGACTGGAGTGAAATCAATGTTTTATACGCTGGCCCATGCAAATTGTGTGAGCTCCGTGTAGTTGGCAGTGCCGCATATTAATGGGCCGCCGAATGTCGGCAACATGAACACTGCGAAATCCACTTCATGACCGAAAATTAGTTTTTAACCCACAAAATAATCCCGAATGACATAAGGATGGCCTCCAAGCAACAGTAGCGCGAAAATAAAAACCCGGCAACCACAGCGAACATATTACAGGGACGGCCCCTCCATCGTCCTGCGTCCTTCGTCCTGCGTTGTTCGTAGTCCGCAGTACATAGTCCTTGCTTGCCGGAAGTTGTAAAGCTGCCATTTCTCGGCCATGTTGTTGATGTTGCCACTGCCACCGACTTGGCTTTTCGAGCAACCATTCGCGGCCTCGTAATGCGGTCATTGTTATTGCAATTTTTGTTGCTGCCGGGTAGTTGGGCAGCCTGGTAGCGCATTTGTTGTATTAACTTTTTCCAAGTGGCATGCAGGGCCAGCAGCAGCGGCAACACCAACAGTATACCTCTCGAACGCCACCCCCGAGGTGGGCCATAATTTATTAAAGCCTGCACCAGAGTGCTCCAGCGTCGGGCCAGCGCCCCCGGCACACAATTGAAAATTAAGCAGCAGAAGCAGAAGCAGCAGCAGCAGTGGCAGTGGCAGTAGCAGGAGGGCTGGGGGTCAAAGGGCATAAGGCGGCGCTTCGGCGAAGTTGCAGAAAATGCGAAACACTGGAGGAATCCCCCGCCTGCAACACGCCACCAGGGAAAATGGTAATCGAAATGTTCGCCGCACGAATCAACGCAAACAAGCCACACAGAGAAAAATGCTAGAGATTTAATCTCTTAACTGTTTCCCAAGCCAAACACCAACATTATCATATTTCAAATACTTAATTGAAATATATATGGGCTAATAGGTATTAAATTGCTAGTTAAAGACTTGTTGTAGAATTAGGGATTTGATTAAGTCTTAGGATTGCTTTTACTAAACGTAATTAAAATTTAATAAAATCGAAGAGAATTCTTAAAATCAATATGTAGTCAATAATAAACATACCTAATTAAAAATAATTAGTTAAATAACACCGAATGTGGTATAAATAATATTAAAATATTTATTTTAATATAAACAATATTAAGTGTTAAACTCTTTAATTTAAATTAAAATTTAAAAAACTATTAGCAACTTATTTTGCCTTCGAGTAAGGGAATGGTGAATAGATAATTTTTGGCAGCCTATAAATAAAATGAAATAAATTGATAAAGCTACGGGTAGGGCCCAAACTCAGAAAACGTTAATATAACCTTTTTAGAAAATATTTTGCAACAGTGCAGCGCTGAGCAACGGTGGGAGTTGGCCTGCAACACTGGCCAGTTACCAGTCAATGTCTTGCCTCCTTCGCCTTTTTTCTGGCCTCTTTCTGCAGTCAAAGTTTTTGGTCGAAAACTTTTTGGGGTTCGAGGAAATAATTCATGAAACATGGCGAGCGCGAAACGCGAAATACGAACATTTTTGTGCCTGTGCCGAATCTGATTGTGACACAAACGAATTGTTCTGGTTGTCGTCGGCGGAGTTTTGGATGTGGAGGTGGAGCTCTGGAACAGGACCGCCGGTCGGTCGCATATTTATGTGCCTATTTCGCTTTTTTCTATGTGGCCGGGAGCATTACTCTTCTTGGCATGCAAATTTATGGTGTGTCCCAAAACAATTGTTATTGTGTTTTCAACTTTTGCTTGATTTGTGTGTTTTAAGTGATTCCAAATGGGTCGCCGGGGATTGAGCGGGGTGTCCCCGTTCCAGTCACAGTTCCAGTCCGAGTCTGTTGGCAATTTGCGGCTAGCAATGCGGACCATTGTTCCCCAATCCACGGCCATTCGCTGATAATTTCTTGGCTGTCATCGGGCCAGACGCGCGCTGCATATCTCAATGCAATTCTAAGCACCCAATAACCATAAAACACTTTAAGTCCAACCGAACTTGCTATTTCGTCCGCTGGATTCCCCTTAGACCTTTGTTTATTTGTACTTCCGCAAACAATTCGACTGGCACTGCCACTGGCACTGGCACTGGAACTGGCAGTCGACGAAACTTCTGCGGCCATGCAATTGTTGCCACTTCTCTGGTTACTTCTCGGTCCGGCAGTAGGCCACTTCCTGCAGTCGCCCCGGAGTAAGTTCAGCTGCTCCGCATGCAATTCGTGAATTTTTGAAGGCACTTCTTTTGTTATTCCGGCTCCGGAATCTTCCCCTTCCCCCTCCACCGGGATTTCACCACCCGACTTGCAATATGCAAACGGTCATTTCGTTAATGAGCGTGGGGCAGCTGTGGGAGGTTGAGGAAGGTTGAGGGGAACAAAAAGTAGAAAACTCAGGAGCAGCAGTGAACTACAACTTTTACAGGCCATCCGGCGGATGAAGCGGGTTCGGAGGAGCAGTAGCAGGAGCAGGAGCAGGAGGTGGCCATGGCGGAAGGACCATGACCGGTAGGCAGTGGCTACAAAGCCGACTGCTTAGATAGACAGCAGCCCGTGTTCCCAGTCTGCTGTCCGGATGACTTGGTTTATTTTACGTAATGAAATGAAATTGAAATGAATGTTTTATAAACCGTGAGCGCTGATTCCCCCCACTCTCTAGCAGCAAGCCGAACTAAAAATTATGATAAAAACTAAGTGCCACATTTAAACATAATTGCAATGCTTTTGTCCCACTTCCTCCTTTTTCAGGTCAGATTTTCAATACAAATCATTGTAAATGCTTAAAGCTGCTCACTCTGAATTAACATAATTAAAAAAGCGGCATAAATATTTATGAGCAATTTGCAATTATGTATATGCAGACAAACACGTATGAGCCGAAATATTTGAGGAACTTTACACATTGAATTTACATACAATTGTCTGGCATAAAAATACAAATGAAAATCATTCGTATAAAAGAAGTGCAGCGAGCAGAGTCCGGGGATTTAATTAAATTTGGCTTAATGTTTTCACCGCAAGAGAGTTGCTGCTGCTGCTGCTGCTGCTTGTTGCATGTTGCTGCTGTGGCTGCTGCCTGGAGTTCGGTTATTAAACATTCTGGTGATTCTGTTCACGGTTCTCGTAAGCCAAGAATTTATCGAATTCAATTAATATGGAGACCACAGTCGCGCCTTGTCCACTACGGAGAATAATTAATCAGGGATGGTCTACAAAAGGATATTTAAGATACCTGTTGATCAAATCTTTGACGGTTATTTTCAACGCATCCTTTGGCCTAATCATGTCAAAGATCTCATCCTTGAGGTCCTGAAAGTTCACCTCCTCGGCCTGCACAGCTTTAATGCGCTCTTCAATGCCATCAAAGAAATACCGCAAAGTTTGGGCTGTTAAATATCCTTGCTGATTTATGTCTAGGATGCGGAAAATGTAGTGCAAGGCTGGAAGAGTCTTAAGGGCTTTTGGTTGCTAAGTTATTTGAAGGGTACTCAAAAGACGATCTTACTTTTCGATGTTCCATTGCAAAGTAAAAGTCCAGGAAGGTTCTGTAGTCCATTTCCCCGCCATAAGTACGGCACACTTCGAAGGCGCGGTCCAGGAAAATGGTGGTAAGACTACCAGAGCCGTATTCAGACAACTCCTTTCTGCTCAGCATGCCATCGTGATCCCTATCTAAATCAAGATAGTTCTCGTACACCTCTAAGACTGCCGACACTGAAAACCAGTTCGTCGTCTTAATTTCCGCAGCATCCTTGAGTATCGCCGTATCATGCAGCTCCAGTAATTGCGAGAGCAGTCCCGAGGATACAATGTCCCTTATCCGAATACGTCGCAAATGCAGATGGTCCAGGAAGAAAAATATCTTCTTGACCACAGTACAGACATAAAAACTCTCGAATGAGGGTTGCAAACGTTCACTAACTTGGGCCAGCGTTGGTATAATGTCCGTTATATAGCTTTCCAGATCGCTCTCATTTAAATATCCCTGTCCGATTTCATCGTAAAAGGAAAGAGCAATGCTTCCCTGGACAAGCAAGACTCTACGCATCATGTAGTTATAAATGGAAATGATCTCCAGCATGTCGGGAAAATTGGAGGTTACCAGCAGTTCAAAGAAAAGTTCAACTGTCATGATTTTTCGACACTTGACGCCCACTTCCGCAACGACGTTTAGGTAATCATCCAAATTGACCAACTGTTGTCTAGATCTCGTGGTCTCAGTCACATATTTCTCCAGCGTCTTCCACAGATCATTCATATCATCGAGATTAAGGAGTTCATCCGCCTGGCGCTGCAGAAAAAGCGAGTGGGCCTCCTGATGAAGCAGCCGTCGGACTTTATCCTCCGGTTTCGGTGGAGGAACAAAGAACTTCGGTATTTGTTTAAAGGAAGGGTGATCCTTACCGACGCGTTCTTTTAGCGGGACATTCGCGTTAAAAGTCCCCAGTTCTTTTGCCCTTATAGATCTTGGCGAAACCTGCAGATTACCAATTGCCCCGAAGGTTCCCGATTCCAATTCCATTGTTTGTAGGGCTAAATAATAAACTTTTCAAACTCAGCAAAACAAAACAAATTAATTATGTTCTGATGTATGACAAATGTGTGACAGAGAAACATATAAATAAATTTGATACTTGATATGAATAATTAAAAGTTTAAAAATAAAACTAGATTAAAGATTATTCTAATTATTATTGTGGTGATGAAAAAAATGCAAGCTAAATAAAGCTGTTTAGAATATATTTTAATTAATATTTTTAAAGAAACTATATATCTATATTATCTTGACTGACAGCCATGTTGTTCAAGGATAAAACATAAATGTATTTTCATAATTCTCTTTAATTTGTATAAGCTACAATTTGTTCTATGGAGAAACTTCATAAAACTATTGGTAAAAAACATTCTTATAATATTAAGCAGTACAAATGTTAACCCTCGGGACTATATTTAATTTGGCCTGCTTCCTAATTTCAGGTTCCACCATTAAGGGCGTCGTGGCCATACTGAATTGTATCCTGGCACGTCAGCTATGTTTCGAGGATCCCTCATGTTCGGCCATATTGGAAATTATACCGCGTGTCTGCGGGCCCATACCAGGTAAATATCATTAAATAAATATCATTTAAATCAAATCGATATTTTTACCGTGCGCTGATGAAGTGTTTACACAAAATCTATGGGTTTTTGTGTCAACTATTTGCAGAGCTCTTGAGCGCTTGTGGCGTCCATCGCTGATTATGGGCAAGTTTTGGCCTTTTGAGAATTCATTTCCGCGGCCAGTGCGAGTCGGTTGAATATATTTTATTTCATGTTTCCTTTTTTTTTATTTGCTCGTGGGGGTTTTGTGTGGCTGTTTCGACAACTGTGTAATTATTTTTAGCAATTTTGTGTGTTCCGTGAGTAGGTGCGCATGCAATAAAACAGTAAATAACAGTGTACACTTAAAGCGCAACAAAGAGCGAGGAGCAGAATCGGCCACGAAACGCCGGCAAAAGGCATTTGAATATTCAAATGCCGTAGAGAGCTGCGACGTCCGTTGAGTCGAAGGCCTGTTTCTGCAATACCCTGTTCGAAAAGAAGGGCTAAATGTAGTGCATTCTGGCGCACTGTGCGTATGCTATAATATTAAAAAAAATGCAAACTATTACAAATATAACTTTAATATCCCAGAATATCAATACCTAATTAAAAATACTAATATTACTACAAACGTAGCACTAATTTTATGTTGTATAATTCAAAGCTTTGGCTGACAAATCTATACTCATTTGTTACTCCAAACAAAAGGCACTTTTAAATACTCGTAAATTATTAAAAATTTTAAAATCTAAATCTACATTTTTTTGTTAACTTAAAGATTTTTACCTATTTTGTTTTGGTATTGGTATTCTTATTAACTTTAAATACAAATTAATGTAATAGATATTCATTTTTTTAAACATTTTAATTCAAAATCTGCTGTTTTTGTTATTCTTTGAAAGAGTATGTGTGGTGAACGCACATGACCTGAAGGCGCAAAATGAAAAAGAAATGAGTGGTTGACGGGGTCCACATCCACCTACCCACCCACTTCATTCACCTCCACATTCATTTTGCCGCTCAAACAAAGGCGGAGAAAAAGTTAATTTATAAATTATTCAGTAATTTGTTTTAGACTCCGCTTTAGCCGGTGCCTCACCCACCGCAAGAGCAACAACAATGGAAATAAATTTCTTTTGTGCCTCGCTTTGATCCGCCCCTCATTCAAAATGTGTATCTAAGCCGGGACTTTTCCGCGAACACTATTCACATCCACATCCATGTCCACGTCCAACCACCACTCCATTCCCGGTTCATCGTCACGGTCGCGTAGTTTGTGTCCTGCTCCTCGAGCTCTGTTCGCGTATCCAGCGCATAAGTCGGCTCTTATATTTAATTATTAATGTTCATTCAGTCCGGCCAGCGTCTTGTGGCATTTCTCAGCTATTCCGCCCGCCACGAGGTGGCTTTCACCTTTGTTTGGTTTGGGGCGAAATCCTGACAAAAAATCACATTTAAAACGAAGCATTATCGGCTTTGGTTCGCTTGAGGCGAGCTTTCGCTTTTGGCCCTGCACTCAGAAAATATAAAACATATTTCTTCAGTTATTTATTACATTTTAAATTCAATTATTTACAGATAAAGAGATCAAACTTTTTGGTAATAATATTTATAGAATTATTTTACATTGTATTGCATTCAAAAATTAAGTGGATTTTGAAATAGTGTAAGTTTCTTAAGACCTTTGTTTTCGCTGCAACCATATGCAAGCATATATATCGGAAAGTATAATAAAATACCACATTTTTTCTGCTTGGTGCAACATTTGTTTTATTTTGATTTCTCTGCATCTGCAGGTCATTTCCGTTCTCGAATTGAAGCAGAGAATCGAGTAAACACGGCTAAAAGGCAATGCCCTTTAAGTCTGGGGCTTGGACCACTCCACGCAGAGAATCAAGTGGTCGTAGCCATGGCCATTGAGCACTTCAATGGCGGCGGCTGCATCCTGGCGGAATTTGAAGTGCACATAGGCGAATCCCTTGCAGAGGCCAGTGCTTTTTTCCCGGGCCAGATACATCTTGGTGTGGGGCCCGATTTTCTTCACCAGCTCCTCGAGATCAGCCTCGGTCATGGATTCGGATAGGTTTGAGATGCGAACCGCCGACGAATCGTCCCGTTCGCGACCCCAGCCCTTGCCGCTGGCCCCGCCCCCGCCCCCGCCGTCCTTCATAAAGGGCGGCACGTATTTGCCCGTCTTGGTGAGATCGCTGACAGCAGCGGCAGCTGCAGCATTGGCCTTGCTCTCCATCATGGTCTTGCTGTCCATGGAGGTGCCCTTGTAGGGGCAGTTGACGCTCCAGTGCTCGCCATTGCAAATGCGGCACTTGGCGATATTCTTGCCCACGTCCAACTGAACTTCGTGGCTCTGCTCGAACTCCTTGGAGCCGATGAACTGCATGAAGATCTCCTCGGAGGCCATGGTCGTCTGGGAGTTGGGCCCCGGCTTGTCCGAGCGGGAGTCCCCGAACTTCACCCAGCTGCGACGACGAGCGACCGCCTTCGGAACGATCTGCTTCTCGATCTTGAAGGTGCGCACCACCTTCACCTTCTTGCCCTCCTCGTTGAACTTGTACTCCGTCAAGTACTTGTAGTCGCCCTCGATGTACTCATTCGAAGGCCGCAGTCCATCCACATAGTCTACCTCCACCTCGTCGGCCCAGGAGTTATAAAAGGACTTCATTGTTGGAGATACTTTACACTCTGTCTCTGCCTAACAACTGCTACGAAACTGTTTAAAAATCACTGAGATACTTGAAAGTCACTGGAACTTTACAAGGCAGCCTGTTTCGATGGAATGTACTTCGAAAATTCCACTAAACACTAAACAACTCTTATACATATTAAAATAAATTTAAATGCACTGTTCAACACAGGCTGGTTATGCTTATTTATCAGCACTTAAAACATTTTACAATCATTGACAAATTCTCAAATTGAATACATTATTGAGAGAATCATGTTGTGTTTCTTATCACCGACTTTGTTGAGAGCGAGAGGCAAGCCCTCTTCCATAGATAAGAGTCTATTTGAGTGCAAGCTAAAGCCAAATCGGCTTTGGAAATACTAGTTCACTTTCACTCTTGTGATCATTCGGTCGTTCTATTGAAATTAACATGCTACTCTTGAAGCATCCGAAAACCGGCCAAAGTCTGGAGATCAATGAGTTTTGGCTCCGCGATCACTGTCGCTGTGGGGAGTGCCTAAATTTGGATACAAATCAGAGGCGATACGATCTCTTGGATCTGCCAGCTGATGTGAAATCGTTGGGGGTAAAGTGCGAAGGGATACGATTACAAGTGCAATGTAAGTGATAATGTAATTGCACTCAGTCTCAGTTTATTTTTGGTTTAATATTAGGGAGTGACGGTCACCAGTCCAGCTATGACCTGGACTTTATCTTCGATTCCCAGCTGGAGCGGTTGATAAGCCGGCGATCAAGGTCCACTAATCTGACGCCCTGGAATCGTTGTATTATTTTGCAGAATGAACGGCACTTGAGATTCTCGTTGCCCCAGCTCGTTTCCAGTGATGAGGTGGTCAGATCTTTGGTTGAATCTCTGGTTCGCTATGGCATTGTTTTCATCGATGATGTGCCACCCACTCCAGACATGACCGAACTGGCTTTGCGTCGGGTTTTTCCCTTAATGAAAACCTTCTTTGGTGAAATGTGGACTTTTAGCGACAAGCCCGATCATGCGGACACCGCTTACACCAAACTTTATCTGGGTTCCCATACGGATAATACGTATTTCTGCGATGCAGCTGGACTGCAGGCCCTGCATTGCATCGAACACTCGGGTTCGGGTGGGGAAAATTTCTTTGTGGATGGTCTGCATGTGGTGCACGAACTGAAGCGTCGCTTTCCCGCCGCCTATGATGTGTTGTGCAGGGTCCAGGTTCCCGGAGAGTACGTAGAAAAAGGGGAGCACCATCGCCACACGGCCCCCATTATCCAGGTGGATCCCCTGACTCAGGAATTCGTTCAACTCAGGCTCAATGTCTACGATCGGGCTGTGTTCGATACGATTCCACAGCCGGAGATGGCCGAGTTCTATGACAGTCTGCGGCAACTTCTGCAGATTGTTAGGGACGAAGAGCAGCAGTGGACTCTCAAGCTCTATCCCGGCAGCATTGTGCTCTTCGACAACTGGCGGGTCCTCCATGGTCGCCAGGCTTATACAGGATGTCGCACTATGTCCGGCTCTTACGTGCAGCGAACTGACTTCTTAAGTAAGGCTCGAGTGCTGGGAATTATAGAGTAAAAGCTTCGTATAAAAAAACAGATTTAAAACCAGTTTTTGATAAACATGCCACTTTGAATGAATTTTTCTACTGCACAAAAGTATACATAACGAATTCTTGAAAGGAGTTTCATTTGAGTATCTTTAGTTCTTTATAAATTAATCAAACAAAGTTATTCGTTATGTTTAGCTTTATACCATTTAATAAATGTTAATATTGTGGCTCTTAAGAACTGCCATGTCTCAAATCCAAATTCCAAATCGTACAAACATATTTTCCTTCTACTGAACTGAGTTCTTTTCCAATTCAGTTTCGATTTCAAATGCCAACGCATCATAATAAAAAGTTACGATTACAATTGCTGGCCAGCGTCTAATTTTTGTCATTGGGGAGGTGGAGCACATACAGAAAACCGGCAACAAAAATCATTTGGCATTTGTTTTTATGGCCAGCCTCTCACATGAGAGGTTTCTTTGTATATATGAGTGTGTGTGTGTGTTTGGCATAAACAAACGCACTTTGAACTTTTTCATTTAAAAGTGAAATTACTTTTTGTTGGCCGTGCAGGTTAATGGCTGTCGCGTTTCTGTCCTTTAAATGCCCTCCAAATATGGATTTGCCTTAAAGAGAGCGGGCGAGCGAGCGGTGTCTGAATATTTATGATAATTGCATTTCATGCAGGTTTTCCCGCCCGCTTGTCCCGGCTTTTCCCCGATTTTCCGCTTTCGCGTATCTCACCCAGCTCTCATATGCGCCGTCACGACCTGGAAAAGCCTTTAAAAGCAGCTTCGATGCCCCAGCTGGGCGATAAATATATTTTTGCTCGCTTTTTCTTCGCCGGAAGTTGCAGCGCAGCAGTCGTGCCTTTGCATGGCATACTTTTCGGCATTCCACTTCCGTTTTAAAACGCAGCACTCACTTTGAGCCATCGGGGCTCTTGTCGATGGTTCAATAAAATCAACAAGCGCACTCAGTGCAGTACGGACTCAAAGGACACACATGTTTTCTTCCAGGAAACAGGACATACCAGACGAAATAGTTCAAACACAAAGTCCTTGCTTAACTCACCCGTAATTAATATGCTCGATAATAATTTTTGCGCCCCCGGATGGCTAGCTAAACTTAATAAATGACTCATAAATTTCACCTACAGACGGCTATAAAAATCCAAAAAATAATAAAAACAATGGCCGGGGCAGGGAAAACAAATATCAAACTAAAATCAAATAAAGCGCTGCAAAAAAGCGGACAGCACACACACACACACACACACACACACACAGTCGAATGGCAGCAACAACAAACAAGCTAACAAAGAAATCATTGAACCAATTCAGCGACCAACTCAACAACCGGAAACGCTTTTCAAATAAAAACGAATTGAGGACTTAACAATAACAGTAAAAGGCAAGGGCATTGGCAATGGCGGCGGCAGCGAAAAAAAGCAACAGAAACAGCAAATGGAGTCGCTTGATGGCGACGAAGCATAAAAACCACTCGCCTTGGCTTTATTTTTTATGATCGCCCAGCATGCGATGACGAAACCAAAGCCAGGTGCCACTAGCCAAGAGAGTCCGGTGGCCAAGAGGCTCGGTATATTAGCAAGAATATAGTTGGGTGGCCGGGCATCAAATGCACTAGCCACACAGACAGAAAAATATTCTAGCCTTAATTTTACTGCATGGTACAAAATTGGGAAAAAACTAGATGTTCTGTTTTTTTGACTTACTATTGCACAAATGATTCGAAATCACTTTAAATAATAGTTGTCGTTGGTGCTTTCGGTGAGAAAAATAGTTATATTTTTATATCCATGCAAAGGTTTTGCGTTTTTGTATTTTTTGGGTTTCTGGACATTTAAAAAAAGTATAATATATAATATATATTTTCAGAGTGTTTTCCATCCCCACCAGATTTTGGAAAATTTGTCTTATGTGTTTTTTTGATATGTGGTATCTGGATTAATCATTCTTTTGGAATTTTATTGGACAAGTTTTTAAGTTCAAAGCAGCAAATTCCACATCTTTGCGTAAGAACCTAAGTAGTCTGCGTTTCGTCTCTGATCTGGAGCCAACGAGCTTTAATTGACACAACGAGGGGACCCAAAATATCACCAAATCCAAAACCCCGAAAAGACAGATACAAACAAGAAAAAAAGCAAACTTTGGCAAGCCGAAGTTCATATACCCTTGCAGCTATTGCATGAATTAAATACTTTTGAAAACATTAAAATTATTATTTACTTGAGTATATGCTGAAAAACTTTGATGATTTGCAGCTCAATTATTAGATAGTTATTTTATATATTTTTATTATTTCTATGGGAGCTATATGCTATAGACGTCCGATTTTGATAAAATTTAAACCATAATTCTGAAATAATTAAACATTGCTATATGTCGAAGAACTAAACAAAAAATTAAAAAACAGAAAAGTTATAATTTTTTTCATTTATTTTTCCGATTGTTCCTATGGGAGCTATATGCTATAGTCGTCCGATTTTGATGAAATTTAAAACATAATTGTGAAATATTTAACCATTACTATATCTCGAAGAACTAAACAAAAAATTAAAAAACAGCAAAGTTATAATTTTTTTTCATTTATTTTTCCGATTGTTCCTATGGGAGCTATATGCTATAGTCGACCGATTTAGATGAAATTTAAACCGTAAATCGGAAATATTTAACCATTACTATATGTCGAAGAACTGAACAAAAAATTAAAAAACAGCAAAGTTATAATTTTTTTTCATTTATTTTTCCGATTGTTCCTATGGGAGCTATATGCTATAGTCGTCCGATCCGGCTCGTTCCGACTTATATACTACCTGCAATAGAAAGACAACTTTTGGGAAAGTTTCATGCAGATAGCTTTAAAACTGAGAGACTAGTTTGCATATAAACGGACGGACAGACGGACAGACGGACGGACAGACGGACAGACGGACAGACGGACGGACAGACGGACATGGCTAGATCGACTCTACTAGTGATGCTGATCAAGAATATATATACTTTATAGGGTCGGAAACGTCTCCTTCACTGCGTTGCAAACTTCTGACTGAAATTATAATACCCTCTGCAAGGGTATAAAAAAATAAAACTGTGCAGAACCAAGGGGCATAAAAATGATGGATGCCTGTGAAAAATGTCACTTGTTGCGTAGTCGATGCCAGTGTTCCGAAAATCCCCTTTCGGAAGCAACTTTATGTTCAACTAGCAAATAATCATGTCCGGTCTGCATGGGACAGGGGCGTTATTGGAGGGGTCGTGTGGCAATCACAGGGGTAAGGGATGTGGATGGGGATGGATATGGGGATTGCGATTGGGTCAGTTGAGTGACGTGAACCACATGGCGTGGTTCCATTATGCTGGGCGCCCATTGTCCGGCAGTTTGCTTGTTTTGCTTTTTGGCGATTCTACGGCTTATGACGAGCCAAACGAGTCCCTCTCAATGTGTGTGCGTCTCCGGCTCTGCTGGCTGTGTTTGTGAAGTGTTGGCGTAGCCGGGTTTATTAGTAGGGCTTATGTTTTATGGCCAAAAGGACAATAGATGGCCAACAGATGTTTGCCCTTTGTTTGCCATAGTAGTTGTCATATGCTCGAATAAGCTGTCACACACCCACGTACATGCATTGCTGTATGTGGCTATGTGTAACATAATTTATTATGTTATAAAATATTATCCGGACCACGTCCTCTGCGCAGCGCTTCATTGGCCGCTTAAATCGACCGTTTTGTTTGGAGACTCAATTATTCATAAAGTAGTTGCTGTAACCCCACTCTCGGCTCTTATTATGACATGTGTCTGGTTTGTAGTTGTCTGGCTGCCATTTATAACAACTGTCATGGCCCACACCTGCACTGAAAAAAAGTTACATTCAATGTGTTTTGTGTGGCCTTGAAATCTGTAGAGAAATTATCATTAAATCTTACAGCTTGTGACTTTTTTAAGTAAGCGTATTCTTTTTAAGTAAGCGTATTCTCCTTTTTGAATAGTAACTAAGGTCTAATATGCATCAATTTTCAGAACCTACTTTTACTTTTATTTTATTTATCTTAATGTCTATTAATAAAAATTTGATTCATGAACAAACAACAGCTAGAAGTTTTAATTGTGCTATATGTTGGTTTTGTTTTATTGGGTATTTAAACAACTTTTTTCTTAGTGTACCCACTCGACCAGTGGGTCATCGATGTGCAGCTCCCAAAATGAACCAGCACGACATTTAATGTCAAAGTTTAAGCACTACTGCCATTTAAGGATCATTAAGCATATCCGCCCAATCCCCCAAATGGATCCAGCTGTCACTCACTTGCCACAACATGTTGTACTCAATAGCGCCGGTCCTTCTCCTATTTGCAGTGTCCTGCAGCACGGTGACGGTGACCAAGTGCCAGGCTGCCCTCCGCACCCTGCAGGCCTTCCAGTTCTTCCGGCCCACCTGCCTGTGCAAGGAGCCCGGCATGGATCCCGACTGCAATCACTTTCGAGACTTTCTCTTCGATCACCCATGCGGATTCGTACTGAAGAAAGGTACTTCGTGTATCCCATTTGCACATGCATCACATTCAAACTCCTATTTTTGCAGCCGAGAAGGATCCTTATCCCATTGATGCACTACCAACTTGCAACCATGCTCTGTCCGTCTGTCAACAGGAACGCAAATGCCTGAAGCTCTTCGAGGACTTCAAAACGCATTGCAAAGTGCGCGACAACAAGTGCAAAATGGAAAACAGGTAAGTCAAGGGCAATAAACAACTTTCATAAACTTTTAATATTATTCACTCCCTCCAGAATATTACTCAAGGTTGTAATTCATAAAACTAATTAGTCCAAAATTCATGAATAAAATCGTATAAGGTTTATAGTCAATAAATTTTTAAACAATTCAGCCTTGCTAACCAAAAACAAAAATTCATATCGATAAAAAAATCATATCAACAAAGTCAACCCTTTTTAGACTGCCGCAAATAGAAAAGATAATGAGTTTGTGACCCAATTTCAGTTTTATGTGTTCAAAAAGCTGTAAAAATTTCCCCCTTATTATTCTGAAAGACAATTTTATCAATACCGTCAATGATAGCTCACTTTAGTGGCATAATAGGAGCTTTCCGTTTAAAGTGTCAAGTAAATTATGAAAATGGAAATTCGAAGTCCACTAGAGCCAATTCCGATAATGAAAATTAAATTTAAACGTGTTTGACTTAATAAGAAAATTGATTTGCTCCATGCCGCAACGTGGCCATGCCGCTTAATGGTTAACGGCAAACGCAAATTGCATTGGCAGTCTGCAAAAAGCGGAGTGTCCGCCCCCTTTTTCAGGGGTTAAAAAGCAGGCAATGCCACCTTGCAACATTCAATTTCGATATTCGATTTTATTGGCAAAAAACACAACGCACACAGCAAGACAGCAAGACAGCAGCGTAAACAGGAGTCAAGTTGAGCGAACAGAAGGCGAAATGAAACTTCCTGCTTGTCGGCATCTTGCTGCTTCCTTTAGCCATCACATATCCTTGCTGACGCGATTTCCTCCCTGCCAGGACTCGTCTGGCTCATTGCTCGGATGGCTCGATGGCTCGTTGCCTCGATACACTTGAATACAAACGTTCTGAATGTTTTAATAACTCGAAATGACTTTTTGCGGCGGCAGTTGGGCGTTGGGAGTTGACTTCAGTGCAGAATTTCAAAACTTGGTCTTAAGCTTCTCCATTTCCCCACTTCCCCAACGACTGCCATCCTCAACTCTGCCTAAAACTTTCCGCACGCATGCCAGGCATGGCTGCGGGTTTTTGGTTCAAGTTGAGATCCACCTATGCGATAAAATATTAATTGCAGTGCCGTGTGGGTGCACCTTGAGAAAATTAGCGCGCTTGAATTTTCGTTATTTAATAAATAATTATAATAAGAAATATGTTATTAAAAATCTTCTTTTTATGTTTTATTTAAAAATGAACAGTACATTTTTTAAAGATATTAAATCCAAATCTATTACAACAACATCAATTTACAACTTATAATATTTTAAAATGTAAACTATTTAATTTAGAAGACAAAAATAAAATAATTTAAGAAATAATCAAATACTTGCACGTTTAAAATACCTGTTAACTCAGTAAAATTAATTTTAAGTCCAAAATTGGTATAGTTTGTATAACCAGAGCATACAGAATAAGAATTTGAAAGCTTAATTTTTATGTTTTTAATTGTTACCCTTAAAACGAATTGCAAATTAGGGAAGTCGAATTTCTCATCGTGCACATGCATTTTTGATGTAATTGGCAATTTTAAAGTTTGCATGCCCCGCGAACGGAAGTCGCTGGCGATGCGGCTTCGGTTGCGGCGGTTAGGGACTCGAAATGAATTCAATTAGCTGGGGTCTGGAAGCCCGAAACGGCTCAGACCCGATTGGGTTGGAATGTGTACTAGTATGAGGTTGAGTATGAGTATGAGTATGCTTAACCGGGACCGTCTTGGCTCTTTTTTTCAGGGACGCCTGCCACGATTCCTGGACCAACCTTCGGCTGTCGCCCATGTTCGGATGCATCTGCCCGAACAACCATATGAAAAAGCGCTGTGATCGTATCTTTAATATTGTTAATCACAACCCGTGTGTGGGTAAGTTTCGTCTGGCGAGGCTGAACTGTTGACCGTGACTTCAAAAACAACTTTAACAAAAACCAATAACAACTACAACAAGCAACAACACAAACAGCTGAGAGACAAAACAAAAAAAAAGAAGCGAAAGCTAATGCTTTGAAAATCGTGGATTAACTATATAGTTTTTGTTTTCATTGTCCTCTGTTCTTATGTGTCTCTTTTTCTCTGTCAACCTCTGGTATCAAGTTCATGTTTTCCTAATATGCGTACGGTAAATGATCACCTTTACCTGCCTAAACCTAAAGTGACTTTATTAGTTCTTAACTGAATATTAAGTTGATTTTCCTTTTCTGTTTCCGTTTCCTTATCGATTTCGATTCCTTTGGTTATTGTAATTTTGTGAAACGCTCAAAAACCGAAACTAGCCTAACCATTTAAGTAACCTAAACAAAAACCAGAAACTAAACTATCGCACGCTTCTGCATCAAAAACCAAACTAGAGAAAACCCAAAATGAATCCCATGTTCTGCGATCAGTAAACAGTAATCTATATGCCTATATCCAACAAATATCATACTGTAAGAATATTAGCTATGCTCAGTAATCCTAAATATCACGTATACGAATGTATATCAATGTTAAACAAAGCTGCCGTGCTATCTCTCTCTATCTCTCTCTAACTCTCTACCTCTCTCTCGCTCTCTATCTGTCACTATCAAAGTTTTTTGTAGCAGTAAGCTATCAGCCCATAACTACATACAGTCACTCGCTAAAGTTAACCGCCACCCAGCGATCTGAGTCTGTGCTTTAGATTGATTGCACCCAAAACAAAAAATAAACACTTCTAGAACTTCTAACCCTAGATGTAAGACCAACGCTAGACCAAGCTATACTAACACTCTGACTCTGAACAAGCCACGCAGTCTCTGTCCTGTCATTTTTGCTATTCAATGCGCAGGAGTAGGACTAGAATAATCTCAGTCAGATGAAAGCTTTGATTTCCCCACGCCAGACCACCACCGAAACTCTTTAAAGCATAATTTCATTTTTCACTTCACCCGGCCACTTTCCCTGCACTAATGGATTAACAGCACCCCAGAGCAGAATGATCCCTTTCTCTCGTTTCGCTGAATTTTATTACACAAGTACACACTAATTGCACTAATTAAATACCCGCGCACACACTGTTGCACACTTGCTTTAATAGCAACAATTTGCACCACACCGGCACTAAATGTTTTTCTCTATTTTTCCGCACGCATGCCCCACCTCACTTTTCCACTTTTCCACCCTTCCATCCCCCTTCCAGATAGACTAATATTTTTCCCCAACGGTCTGCCCAAATTGAAGCAACCGAGACCGAAGGCAAAGCCGCGGCCCAAGTCGAAACCGAAACCCAAGCCGAGGCAAAGGCACCACGGCTCCAATGGCACCGAGCTCATGTCCAACAATATCGAGTACCACGACGAGCCCAACGGAATGAACGATCCGGAGGACGAGGGGGATGGAACGCAGGACGAGGACCCCGATGGCGACGTGGAGGAGAATCAGGATGAGGATGAGGACGAGGAGGAGGACGACGATTATGATGACCGCATACGAGCCGAGATTTATTCGAATTACCCGCACTACCTGCATCCGCCGTCGTGGGGCATCAACAATCCCCTGGTCCTGGCCTCGCACAGCCCGCACACTTTGGACGACGACGACGACGTGGTGGTGGAGGTGGTGGTGGCCAACAAGAAGCCACCGCTGCAGCCGCTGGAGCACGACGTGGTGGTGGTGGTGGATGCCGGGCCGCACTCCCACACCCATCCGCACTCGCACACCTTCTACAGTCATGGCGATCAGGGTTCCACAACGGGATCTGGATTGGGCTCTGGCTCAGGTTCTGGACTTGCTGGCGCAGCACCCACTATTCCCAGCCCACCTAAGTATGCGGCTGGCCAAGTTGTTCGAAAGTTTCCTCAGCTCCCGTTTACCCCTGACTTGAGTTCGGCATCTTCGACTGGCAACTTTTTCAGAAAGTTTAGAGCCCGCACACATATTTACAGCGTACATATGTGATTGCCAAAACACCCCTTTCACTTCAGACAGCCTTTCATTAACTCCACTCTTAACCACCGAGGAACTGAAAACTTTATGCAAAAAGCTTTTAAAATAATTGCCTCGCCTGGGTATGCCACAATTTCCGGTTAAAAAGCCAACTAATGAATAAGTCCAGCTGCTGGCAAGTAAACAAGCAACAACAGCGTGCACTCGAACTAATCGGTTCCCTGGGCACTTGTCCAGCATTTATATAATGTGATTTTAATGCATTGCATCTTCGTAAACATCCCGGTGAGTCGGGGAGTGGAGCAACAGTCTGAGCTGGACGCACAGTTAATTTATAATGCCTGCCAGGAGCATTGAGATGCTCCATCGAGTATGACTCATAACCTTTGGCTCCTCGCCTTTGTAATTGACCATTGCACTTGTAATGCCCTAAGCCGATTAATGCCCAACTTGAGTCAGTTTCTTTCTGCTGTAACAAACATGATTTATGTAAATTGATAAATCTACTTATGCACTTGTTTGTTTACTTATCCTTGTACCCACACCCGAGCACTATGTTTTGTAATTTGCACTTAATTATCTGTACAAATCTGCAATTTATCCAGCACTGGCACCAAAATGCACAAAACAGCACCACTCGGCGATTTAGTTGCCGGCAGCGATATAACCCACCGCACCTACACAGGCCCCTCGATGGATGAACGAGGTGAGTTTACTAATTGCACTTAGCCAGGCTGCCCTGTAATTTAACCCGCACGCCCTCGGCAATTTGAAATAAATATGAAAATGATTGCTGCTAAATTATGAGATTTATGTATTATGATTTAAATTATGTATTTTATGAAAAGATTTTTACGAGAATATATTACTGCTAGGAATATTTAAAAACTTATTCAGCAAGACAAAAAATAATGTTTTAAAAGAATTAAAGTGGGAAATACTTATCTGAAAGTTTCTGTTTTTTCTTTAAGCTTAAACTGTATTAAATCAAATCTAGTTTAAAAGTATAACCCCCCTTTTATTTGGGAAACGCTTTACGCCAATTACATTATTAATTTATTTTAACAGCTTCGTTATATGTTTTCATGTGAACATGAAGAGAAAAGGTTTGGACTTGCCCAAAGGTTTCTAACTGTTCTATCATAAGGTCACACTTAATTCAAATTAAATATTTATGCATTGCGAATAAGCAATGAAGGAAAGGGTCGAGTCATAAATTAGACAATTGGCGTGTAAGTAAGTATTCCACAAAGAGCCAGATGAATATAAGCGCACCAAGAAGCACTGCACTTCAATGTCCCGCTCTCTCTCTCTTTCTAGCACCCAAAGCACCATTCTCCCCATCTCTCTCGCACATCTTGCCCTCTCACTTGCTCGCTGCTTGAAAGCTTATTAGGCAAACAAAGCTGGCAAACTCTAGCATTTTGGCCAGGCCAACAGGCATCCTTTGTTGTTTGCAACTCGCTCCATGGCATTAGCTATCTGCAGGGCAATCAGTTGCAGTTCCATGGTTGCACAGATACTCACACACACACAAACACTCACAATGCACACAAGTCCCATAAATAAGCATTTCGACCCCTTAACGCGTCATCGGAAAGCGAAGCCTTAGAACTTTAACATAGCACTCCACTGTGGCTTTTGGTTTATTGGTATTCTATTCTAAATATTACACACAGTACATTGAGAAAACAGGATTCAATAAAATAAAATTTGATTTAAAATAATACGAAACGAGCTTGAAAATATAAAACCAGAGATTATTATTCAATGGTCCGGATTTGAGTGACCAGCTTTTTATTAAAATACATGTTTATTTTTGGACAGCTCAAGATCAAAATTATTCAAATTTTTTAAAATACAGAAAACTCCCAGTATATATATTTATAGTATTATTTAGAATACCTTTTTCTGATGTTAATGTCAATCATTTCGAGTTAAAATAATTTGAAATCAAGATTTAGTGGACTTGAATTTGTTTTCTCTGCCTAGTTATGTTAAGTTGTCCCCCCTCGGTTGCTGCCTATCTACAGACTCGATGATTTCACCAAATACAATAAAACAGCCTGCTTGCATTTGTGGCCTAATCAATGGCCTAATCAATGCATCCTCTCTTGTTTCGGCCTTTGTTTGTCCGCTGCGCATCCTGTTTTTATTTATTACCACTGATTTCACTTGCCATTTGACGATGGTCATCCATCATAATGGTGTTTTGTTTCCGTCACGACGCACTCGGCAATCTGTTCGACAAAGTTATAAATTCCCCAGCCTGCCTGGTGCATGGTGCATGGTGCACTTCTGCAAACAGCTTTGTCCATTGTTGCAGCTGCCAAGCTATGGGATTGCTGTAAATATTAGCAAACTGTTTATGCACGTCAAACGCACACACACTCGCCGATTTGCATACATTTTCACCGACACTTGCTTTATTTACGTTTATGGCGACCAGTAAATTAACAACGAAAACAACCATAACAATAAGCCCGAATTTGGCCGGGTTATCAGATTTTCGGTCGAATTTAGTGCCCAATACAGCGAGAGATATGCATAAATATCGAAGCTAAAGGCAGTATTTCAGCGACTCTTTTTATTTGAGCTGCGTTGTTTAAATTGAATTGTTATTGTTGCTGATTGGATTCTCAAATGCAAAGCATAAACATTGTCAATGGCCTCGAGGGCTTTAAGTTTTCAGAATGGCATCAACAATGTCACTGTTCAAGCAACAATGGTAGATGAAAACAAATAAACAATGTAGGGGCCAACATTTTATGTGTCGGCACGCTTTTTACCTTTTAAACTAGTGAAAGCTTGCATAACAGAAATTGAATACAAATTAGTTGGTCGCCATATTTAAAACTTATGCTTAATTTAAGTAATAAAATAAAATGAAAACTACACACTTAATTTTATAGAATTTAGACCATTTTAATCAACAATAAGATGATGACTTCTATGTTATATATAAAGTTTAATTTAGTTCAGTTTTACGAAATGCTTTCATACAAATTTTAAAATAACTTCACAACAGAACAAAAAAAAATGTCATCATATGAATTAAGTTAGTTCAATGCATTTAACAAAATAATTCTCGCAATCGAAAGTTCTTACGCACTCCATAGTTAAAGGGTATCTCGTGGTTTAAAATTAAGCTGAGTGTTCAATTTGAAAATTTAATTAAGCACAACTAAAAAGCAAATAAAGCGATTTGTCAGCATTGCGCCAGCAACAAAACGAAGCAAACACGCTTGCCAAGCACCCTAACACCTCCACCACCCACCCACTAACAACTAACTTGCCACCCTGCACCCAGCACCACCTATCAAACTTATACCGCCCACAAGAGCACCCACATTTCTATGTATTCGTATGGGATATATCCGCACAATGTTTGCGTGCAATAAATATTTTCATAATATTGTACAATCCACTTAGAAGTAGCAGAGGGCCACAAACCGTTCCAAGCACCTCTGCCCGTGTATGTGTGAGTGAGTGCTTGCATGTGTGTGTTTCCCAAATGGTCTGCGTATCCGTGTACTGCAGCTGCTCACGGCTTTCCCAATTAGGGCATGAAAACCACGACTATTTGATATGGGACAGGCAACATATTCGCGCTTCTAGCATCACACGCATTGGGCAGAATGTAATTTCCAAATTATTGCACATTCTCAAAATTTATTCCCGTTGTTTATGAGTTTGTTTAAATTTCGCGCACCGTATCTGCACATGCAGTTACATTTAGCTAACATTCATGTTTATGGGCAGACACACTGCCACTTTCTGCACTCTCAACTTTATAGGAACTTTGCGATTTAGTTAAATGTTAAATGGCATGCAATGACCCGGGCGCAGCTGAAACGTTTTGTATTGGAGTCAACGCTACGTATACGCAACAATTAGATGACACAGATCCACTCAACGACAGGAGCTTACAAGCGCGATAACAGTTAACAAACGGAGCTAATCCCATTCAAGGCGCCCTCCCAAGACATTTCACTCATCCTCCCCAGCCGACATTTCTGCTTGTTGTGCAAATATTTGCGATGGCAGTGCGAGCGACAAACATAAGTACGTCGCACGTTCCTGGCAAATCCTTGGCCATTTAGCGCCAGCAGTGGACCCCCCACCCCAGCAGGCATTCGGGGAGTGGCCCGGGGATTGGCATCCTTTTGAGCTTTGCCAGACGCCGCAAATGAAGCGCACTACGGCGTGCTCTCGCCGAGATAAGCCATTCTGGCACTGACACAAAAAAATTGGACCAAAAAAAATACAACGAACGTAGTAACGCTAAAATATTTTATTTATTACAATTTAATAAATTTTTCACGATTTAAATTTTGTATTTACTAACTAAAACACTTAAAGTAACATTTAAAAAAAAATTTGAAAATGCGACGGATTATCCTTTTTTACCAAAAAAAAAAATGGTAAATTTGCATAAAATACAATGAAGCGCTCTGATAAAAATAACTGCTATCCTAAATGTATTTCCGTTAAATTTTACCAAACTGTTAAATTTAAAGTTCTTTTTAAAAAAGCTCTTGATAAAATAATGATTTTGTGTCACCTAATGATTATGTGATATTAGAAATGTGTAAGTTTTTTCCTGAGTGTCAGCGGTGATAGCGAAGCTACTGCTGCGGTTGGAAACCGTTTTGAGACCGACCCGCTTCTCGTTTACCATTTACCACTTGCCATTTGCCCGCTCTATCAGCGCATGACATTTGACAGACACTGAGACAGGCGCTTCTGTTTGTCTTCTGTTTATGTTTCGCCATTGATAGCAAATGGCAATCGGAGCGTGGCGAGACGCAAAACCTGTAATGGAAATCGGTTGGGGAGCTGAAAACAGTTCCGACTGCGATTCTGGTTCTGTTTTTTTGCTTTTTCAATGCAAAACGTTTTACCCGTCTGCCCTGCACTAATTTTAAACGATAATTGCTGGCACCGTTTCTCTCTGTATGTTTGTTCAAGTTTTTCTTCGATTTCGTTGACACTATCTGTAATCGTTTTCTTTTCGAATAGAAATTCTTTCGATCTCGACAATATCATTTTCTTTTCAAGTGTTTTTTTTTTACATACGTACAATAATAGCAATTAAATTGATTGTAAGAAAGCCAAATGCTACAACAAAATATATACAGAAATTCATGCGAATCTGATTGGATAACTCAAATGCTGCGTAGCTGTTACTACAGTCACAACAATAACTCCAACTACAACTACAAATCAAACAACTAAATAGATGGCACTGAACAAGAACAACAACAATAAGCAACCACAACAACTACAACCATTCTACCCTCTCTCTTCTTGCTAACCTCAAATTGCAGTAAGAATATTGGGCATGGACGAGAAACTGCATCAGAGAATCTTCAATGATAATTTGGCCCTAATTGATACGCCACTTATAGCCATGGGCACCGGCTCCGGTTCCGGCTCCGGCTCCACGGTCACCTCATCCGGATCCGTTTCCGGTTACGGCCTGGGAATGGGCATGGGCCTGGGATCGGGCATGGGCAGCTTTAACTATCCGGGCTCGATGCACGGCGTGCCCAGCTATCCGTTCAATATTAGTGGCTTCCATCAGCGACACATGGCAGCGGCGGCTGCCGATAATGAACCATTCGATATCATTGATACGGGCTTGGGCTACGGCGGAAACGGAAACGCCGGTGTTTACTACCAAAGTATGTGTACACGTATTAGCATGAACGTAATCCATAAATAACAAAATCCACGACCAACTACAAACCAACCAAGCAAAAATTCAAATAAATTAATACGCAGCAGTCCACACACAACCAATCAAATCAAGATAAATGTGTGTGCAAACTCAATAGAATTAATTAACAGGCAAAAAAGTTCGTTCGTTTTTGTTCGTTTGTTCGTTCACCATTTTAGATAGATTTTTGTGAGTTTATTTATGATTTCCCTTCTGTGTCGTCCCCCTGTAACTAAAAACACCCCCGAGTTGCAGGTAAATTTTTTGATAAAAACATTGAGTTCAATTTTTGCTTTTGTTTGGAAGGTGAATATATATATATATATACAACTCGGTGCGATCCGTGCGCCTCTTGGCTTTGTGCATAATTTTTGGCAATTGCTCATCCATCGAAAAAAAAAAGAAATCAAGTTATAGTTACTACTACAAACAATTTATACATTACAATTTATATACATATATAAATATTTACATGTCTCGAACTCTTTCAACTGCTTTTGTGTTCAATTCTTTTTACGTAGCTTGACAATTGTTTTGACAGTTTTTTGAAATTTTCCTACAAGAAATATACCAAAAAACAAAATAAAAACAAATCATTTGCTTCTAATGCGTTAAAAACAATTCCTTTCTATGAATTTTGTTTGACATTTTGCTTATCTAACAGAAAATCCTAGAAAACACAAATGAAATTAGAAAATGTGTACAAGTTGTGAATATTTTCTATATTAACTTTTTCATATGTTAAGTGAGCAAAATGAAAACCCTAAACAAAACCAAAACATAAACAAAATTCATTTTATTTTTTCCTAAAATATATATTAAATCTTAAACCAAAAAAAATAAAAACAATCCAATTTTGTTACATTCAATTCCAGCACACTTTTTCAAATTTTTTCCAAACGCACCAAGTTTTTGAATCCAAAACAATAACAGTTACTACAATCAAACTTAAACAATTAATGCGTTTTCGATCAAATTTTTTAAGATCCAAGACATCGTTCAATCTCCTTCAAATGCTAACTTTTGTGTCATACATTTAACATTCAAGTTCACACGACAACGATTTCATTGTTTCATACAACAAAGCCACCATCAAAAACATTCTACTCCAAGACTTCTAATCAATCCAATTCTACCAACTGAGGTTGAATTCGCTAAAAGCAGTCGCAGAACTTCCCTCAAAGAGAAAACATACAAATTGATTTTGTCAAGACATTTTTGTTCGCTTTTTCGCCGCCGCTCGTCTTTCTGTTTGGCTTATTCCCTGTTACGTACGAAATCTTATTATTTGCGTTTTAAATTCGTTTCTTTCGTTATTTGAAGCATAAATTCATTTCATTTCGGCCGAGTCTGCATCAACGCGTTTATGTTTTCCCTTCAAAGACCACACACACACAAAGTTCAGAAAACCAATAAAGTATGCCAAAGAAACACATTTTCACAGTCGTCAGAACATTAGCATAGAATCATAAATCCCTCGCTGGGAAGCCAGAAAACCCGATAAATAAATCATACCCCCATTTAAATACACAGCCACAAAGGAGTACAGTCTAACGCTAGAATATCGTTGCTGATCCCCCCAAAAACAGAATATTTTTATCAGTAGGCTTGGTAGTTTGGTACAAACCAATAAATAAACTATTAAACTTATACCTCTAATATCCATATAATAGAACTTAGTTGTGTTTTGCCAGCCCTGCAGACCCTGCGACCACGCCCCCAAAACGTTGAAAATAATATCCCCGAACTCCCCAATTGAATCTCACTCTCAATCTGTCTGCCTCCCTCGGATTCCAGTAATAGGCAATAAACAAATTTGTGGAATATTCGCATTTTATTAACGTTATTTATGTGCATTTTTGTTATTTTTATTTAATAATTTCGATCATTTTTTGAGCTGAGGCAAGGGGCTGGGATGCGGGGGGCATTTGAACGTTTTGCGATTACCAATTGAAACTGAAGAGCGAACAAAAAGTTGGCTAATTAAAATGCAATCGATAACTGCTGTCGCCCGAACCAACCAGCGACCGTGATTGATATTCCGATTGCAAATGGTTTAGTAATTGAGTTGTGATTAGGCCTATAGGCCCTCGTAAAATGAACACCACTTGTCTGGCCTTCAGTAAAGCATTATGTTGCTTCATGTGTGAATTACACCTGAATCCCATGAATAAATAAGCCTATTGAGAGTGAGTAAGCAAATAATAGGCTAAAAATGGATAAACATAAATGAAATTAATAAAGACCCAGCCGCAGTCAATATGCATAAACAATGGCTGCCCATGAATTCAACATTTTAATTAGTTCTAAATCCCATTCACTCTCGATTGGCGGAATCAGCGATTTTACAATTCATTTTAGCAAAAAGCAGGATGATTGTGCGCAAACCAAGACCAATTGGATTAAAACAGCTAGTTGGTTGGAGACAGGCGGCTCGGGATATTTTGGGTGTGCGATTGCCGGCTGAAAGTGCCAAATCCGTATCCGAATCGTATATGCTGGAAAAGAGTTGCGCAAATCGAAAACTAATGAACTATTTCAAACATTTTCTCCACGCATCGCCGCTGCGGTCACCATCGCTACTCTAAAACGACAAATACCCAAACGACTTTCTCCCCCGGGCAACATTTACTCGATGCAAATTCAAATGCGGATGCAAATGCAAATGCGACTCACACACTTGGGCACGTTTGACCGGTTGCAGGTGGTCAGGATGTCGAAGTTGACCTCTCAACGGAAATAATCAAGCAACACTTTCAGGTGAGTGCAAAGAAAAGCCCCCAAAACGAGACATGGAAAATGCAAAGTGCAGCTCACACAATTTGTAGCTTTTACTACAGTGCACTGTGAGAAATATTGCTTTTAAACCTATATAATTTTGTATTCATTTAATGGTATTCAAATTAAGTTCGGATACCTCATAATATACTTGTTGTTATTAGGCAATTTTAATAAGATAATGTAAAAGTGATAAGCTATCACTAACTAAAATTCAAACAAATTTTGAAAATAGTTCCGTGGGGCCCATAATCGAGCTTTGGTTGGATTCCGATCAAAACAAATTGTATTATGTTCGAAAACAATAACCAATTCAGATACTGATTTTAATCCTTTTTTCGCCGTGTCTCTCTCTCCGCAGAGTACCTGTCACACGGCATTGGACACTTGCCGGGAAGATCCGTCCTGCTCATCGTCCTTGCAGCCAATGCTGACACACTGCGAGCTGCATCGGTGCAATCGCAACGCGTGCATGTCCTCGTTGCAGGCCTTCTACAAGGGTCCCCACGAGGACCTCAATCTGGACATCGCCTTTTGTCTATGCAAGTAAGTGGCTGGCCATGCGAGTGGTCAGGCGACGGGAGATCGAGAACGAGAACGAGAACGAGAACCAACAAGCCCATTGTTCTGCTCCCCGCTTTCAGAAAAACAAGCAGTAACCAGCAGAACGGCAATCGGCACGACATGTGCATGATTGCACAGGAAAAACTGCATCCAGTGTGCGCGCAGCGACCGCCCGATAACAGCAATCCGGCCAGCTCCAATGGCATTTACTACCATCCACCGCCCGCCTGTCACGTGGTCGCCGAGAGCTGCAAGGAGGACCGCGAGTGCAGGTGGGTCCAGAGACGGGGGTCCGTGGTCAGGGGTCATAATTCAAAAATCGGGCGTTAAGCGTTAAGCGGAAGCGGAAATATGAGCGATGCAATGTATATTTCCCGACTATGATGCTGGCAAGCTGTAATGTTGCAAGGCTAAATTTTAAATGCGATTGGCTGGTTGGCGTTTTGTTGTTTTGTAAAATAACTTTAAAGCAAATCAGCTTTAAATTCAACTCTTAAAAGTCTGACAATATAATTTCGAAGTCCCATCTTTTAATTTGTTGGTATAAGCATGAAAATAATAAATAAATGAAATAAGACACCAAAACAATAAACTTAAAATAACATCAAATAAGACCAATATATATATTCATAGTTTGTACACAGATGGAATTTAATTGAGAAACTTTTTAGCCCATAGCGAGCCAGCATAAATTCATTTAAGGCATTCAATATATATATGTTTGTATCTTTTAAAAACTTGCAATCATTGAATTCGTTTATTTTCCAAGCAACCACATATGAAGCTGTCAAAAACGTGTTTATAATTTTGCTTCCAATTCAATTAAGCCAAATTGAGTTTTGCATGCTCAGTCTGAGGCGCGGCTTGAAATTGAATTAGAGGCGTTTAGCCACGGCAAAGTCAACGCAAGCCGCAACTTTGATGGTACTCAGCTGAACTCGTTAAATTGACACCATGGCACGGGTTAGTTGGTTGGTTGACTGCCAAAGCTAGGCACTCTGAAACTCCGAAACACCGTAGTGTATGTCAGCAAGCGGAGCATAAAATTACCAGTTTGCTGAAGGCAGCTCCCCAATCTCTTCGGAACAGCTCTTCATTAGGCGGCGGCGGCGACGGTGGCAGCTGAAACTTGCAGGCCAAACCGCGTGAATGTGTCAAACACAAAGTTAAGTTATAAATACGATGCAGCACCCTCCAGCAGATTCCATCTCCGATGCACATGCTTAGAAATGGGTGGGAGTGCTGGGGGCGGGGGTGTTTGTTCGTTTGTTTGTTGTCATGTTACGGCTGAACGACCGCAAAGTACGTGGTCGTAACTGTGGCTGTGAAAATTAATTGCCTTTTAAGTGAATCGCACTTGCTTTGGTAAACAACTAAATTGGACTAATGACGCTCATTTTGTATGCTGCAGCCTGGGAGGGGACAAAAGGTCCTGCCAGAAGATGCCGGCAAACGTGTGGAGTGCTTATGTTGACTTATTACGTATACGACGCGTTGTGCGCCAACACGTGCCTTTTGCGAAAGTGTTCGGTGCGGGGAATGCTCATTTGTTTGGCTGCCATCGAAGCTGCAGCCCCGACGCTTTAAACTGCATTTCGGCGGCTGTGTGCGTCAGCTTTTTGGTTGCACAACACGTTGCAGGCATTACGCAACCAAGAAAGCGCAAGAAAATCTCAGCTTCTGCGTCAGTCGTAGATTGAGATAAAAGAATGGAAATATAGAAATATATACTTTTTAGGGTTGCAAAAGTTCTGCTAGCGCTCGCAGAACGGAAAAGTTTTTAAACTTAAGACCTTATAAAACGACTTGGCATTTCTAAAGTGTTTTTGTGAGGACATAATTTAAAAAAAAAAACTGAAGTGGTTTAAATAACTTTTGCGCTGCAGAGAAGTCAATTAAAAGAATACGCATTAGTCTATTTTTTCAATATCAAAGTAATACTTATTACAATGATTATAGTATGTATTTTATGTAAATAAATGTAAATGTATTTTATATAAAGTTATTTAATAGAAATATTTACAGTATTTAACTAAAAGGAAAGCGTTTAGATAACCAAACTTAATTCTAAACCATTTTAAATCTAAGTTTGCACATTTTAAGTGTTTTTTTATATTGTCTAAAAGCTAAAATAAGATAATTGTTTGCATGGTCAAATAAGATATAAGTCAGTGACACTGTTATAAACTAAAATATAAACTATGATAAAATTACAGAAATCAATAAAGTTTCCATTTCTCTTAACTATTGTGCTAGCCCTAAAATAACGACTGAAAATTTTGAACCGAAATGAAAAGCCCTTATAAACGGTGTATAATGTAGGCAACATCCAATCTGATTGGAACCCCAAGTCGTCGCCTTGAGTCGATAAACTGCAACTGAAATATTACGCATTCGTCGCATGACACTTGACCAAAAATCGCCACCCGAATGCCTGAGATTGGGGGCCCATATATTTCCCGTTAGGGTCTTTGATGCGGCACCGGAATGGGAATGGGTATTCGCACCAAGACGATGAAATGCCGTAGAAGGCCGAGAGTATTGCCGGCACAAATTGGCCGACATCAATCTCAGGTTGGAGAGAAGCTGCAGTGCAGGTAACAGCCCACTTATCACCGGAGTCTCCGGCCAGGAGAACTGCATCTGCAGCTAACTGGCGCATGACAGGCACGAAGACGTCGGCAGAGGCACTGCCTCTATGACGGAAACGGGGATGGCAGCTTCTTTGAGGAGCTTACTTGGGTTTTACGAGGCTGCTTGTCATGGCACCTTGAAAAAATTAAGGATAATGTTGGAACTTTAAGTGGAATATGGTTTTAAAGCCCAAAAAGGGCTACTAGGTGATTTTGTTTTAATAAATGTGTGCAATATTTTGCAACTTTGATTATTAAACTGAATATACATATATGGTCATTTAGGGAATATTAATGTCATTCAAAAATATTGACACACAGGTTAGTGGCATCCACTTCCTTAAATTTAAGGTGGTTAGCGGTGCACAGTATAGGGCTTCACAAAGTTTTCTGAAAAGTATAAATTACTGCGTCTGAAAGGCAATTAAACTCCCCTGGTAATCACATTATTATTATTTATTCTTCTTATTTTATGAAACAGACTCAAGTTGGAGTATTATGAGCAGGCCTGTGCCGTGGACAGCGTGACCAAAAAGTGCGCCGGCAGACCGAGTGGCTGTCGTACGGCCATGATTGGCATTCTGGGCACTATGTTGAGGACGACCTGTGCCTGTCAGGGAACGGATCCCCAGCACCTGTACCAGTGCGTGGGATGGCGGCGCCTACTCTGGATGAACCCCTGTGTGGGTAAGTACACGAACCCTGCTTAAAATGGTGCTTTACTAAAAAAAAAAACAGTCCACCGCAATTTTGATTTAATCCAAATAAATTCTTAATTTTGTAAGACTCATTTATACCTATTTCTTTAAATCTTATTAAGTTTTCTTTAACAATTAGCTAAGTGATTGACTTTCGAGCGATTTTAAATGGAACTTTTTCTTTCCTTTATTATCAAAAGATTAATTCAAATTTAAATATTATTCAACCAATTCTGTTATTACTTTGAATCTTGACAGTTGAGGCTCAAAAAGATTTCCATATGAAGCGATTGGCTGAGCTCGGTTTCCTTACAACCACAACAACGACGACCACCACGACGACGACAACAACGACGTCGACAACCACGCGTGCACCACCGCCCCCACCTCCGTCCACCACAACAACAACGTCGACGACCAGCCTGCAGCCAAGGCAGACGCCAAGGAAGCCGGCGACGCACATCTTCAAGGACGTCACTGCGGTGAGTGCCTACTTAGTCGTCGGCTACTGCCATTTGAGTCCTAATTGCCCCGCTGCGGTCAACTAGTGGTCAATCCCTTCGAATCGCCCCGATCCGTTCGATTTTAACAGGCATCAACAACCGTTACCTGTGCCAAATTCCCCCAGCGGTTGTCCGTCCGTCCATCAGTCCTACCGTCCATCTGTCGGTCCGTTTTCTGTTTTCCAATCAGCACTCAATCAGTGGCTCAAATGGGGAGGCGAGGGCGTGGCTGAGCGAACGGCAAAGCGGACAATATGCCACACAACAAGCCAGGTCAAACCAAAGTACACACCCTATATTCAGCAACGAATTCTGGTTCTGGCCACTGTATCCTGCACTCGAAAAAAGTTTCCGACTTACATTTTACAATTTCCAAAAATAAAATAAACAATTGTTGGTCTAAAAAGCAATCAATAAACATGGGACATACGTAAAAATGTTACAAAAGATTTACTTTCATAAAGCCCATGGCAGAGACCGCAAAAAAAATCTTTTTTTTTCTTGTGAAACAACCTTTTATCAAAGGACTTTTAAAATAATGTTCAAGGGTGAGATTTTTTTGTATTAAAGTTAATTTTAATTAATTAAATAAAAAATGTTTACCTTTTTCATTAGACTTGACTGAAAGTATCTACACATTTCTACAAACAAATTACAAATAAATCGTTTTGGTTTTATAATAACAATAATAAGTATAAACCATGTTTGTCCCAATTGCAAAAACATTCACTTCCCTATCAAGTGATAAATACAAGGTACATTTTTCGAGTGTGGGTCCGCGTCCCGGTAAATTTCTGTTTCTGTTTCAGTTGCTGCTTGTGGCCTGTTCCTCGGGTTGGCAAACCGACAAAGCAATCAATTCCTGACCTGCAGCCACTGCTGCTGCCTTTGCAGCCGTACTGGCAAAAAGATTAAGCTCCCCCGTACACGAATATATGTATATATATATATATATATATATATATTCGCATTCGTTTTCAAACTCTTTAACAACTTTTCTCTTCCTCCCCCAAAACAACAACACTGACGGCGAACAATTGCAACAATGAACCGCAAAAACCACAAAAAATGCAAATAAATAAATAAAAATGCGAAACAACAAATATGAAACAAAAAATATGCAACAAAATTGAAAAACCGCGAAACCGAACCGAACAAAAAATGACAACAAAAAATGTGGATGAAAACGGCAGCCAAAGGAGAAATCAGAGCCAACATCGGTGGAACACAATTATCTCGATCCGCCCGATTCAATACCGCTGCCCAGCGTAAATGTCGAGAGTGGCGGAAATGGCGGAAATGACGATTATCACAACGGCAATGGACACGGAAATGGAAATGGCAATGGTAACGGCAACGGCAACGGCAATGGCAGCAGACGTAAAAATGGCGGAAAGGGACGTGGCGGCAATGTAGATTTCGATGATCCAGTAATTTTCGTCGACCCAAGGGAAACAACAGAATTTGTGGGCATCAGCATCACGGAGCCGGTAACCACAACAACCACAACAATGGCCACCACGACAACAACACAGCCGCCAAGTAAGTAAATGCAAGTGGGTAATAAATTGGACCGCCCAGCGACTTGGAGTTGGGCGTCCAATTGCGGTCGGATCTGTCTGAAAAATGTTTTACCTTTGTTCCGGAAACATTGGCCAAGTCTCTGGTGCGTCGTCTTAACTTTATATTAGAAAAAAATATTTATATTAGAGAAAAAATCAGTTTACAGTATGAATTGTATCAGGCATTTCGTTTTATAAGAAATTAATTAAAAAACATTTATTTAAAACTTTATCGTTCTTTTTACGTTATTTTAAAATCCATACACGTTTTACACATATTTTTTAATTATAACATTTTTAGGTATCTTGAAAATTAATTTTATGCTATTTATAAATTTGTAAGCATTTATAAACATTCAATAAACCAATAATAAATCATTTAATAAAATCTTCCTGATTGAGGCATTTTTGTTTTTTGTGCACATACATCACTCTTAATTTTTGTACTTTTGGGTATCGTTTCCGTTTTGGAATTTTCAACATAATTTATGCGGTGACTGCGGTTGTTTGGCTAATTGAAAGCATAACTCATCATCGGCCGTGATTATTATTTTAATATTTTGTGCGCCAATCATTAAAAATTCAGTATCCGCAATGGTTTCCGCACCCGCACACCCATACGCACAGCCGGAAATGAGTTTGCTTTCGGCCGATGTGGCAATTACACGAGTACATATGTGTGCAAATCGCATGAAAGGACCTCCAAAATGCCGGAGAACCTTGTGAACCTAGGTCGTTGGCAAATCCGATTAGGTTTTGAATGCCAAGCGCACACATATCACTCGGCTGCTTTGTGATAATACTTCCGTTATTTAAAACCTCCTGCCGAGGACATCGTTCATTGTCCATTCATTTATCACAGGGACACGTGGGTCGCAAACGTGTTTACAAACATCATTAAAAATGTAAATGAGTTTGTTTGTTTGCCCACCAGTCCATCAGTCCATCCGTTTGTCAGTCCGTCAGTTTGTCAGTTCGTCAGTTTGTCAGTTCGTCAGTTCGTCATCCCTTGTGGTCAGCTTGTCCGTTGTAATTATTTAGACACTTGGGACATTTGGCTCTGAATTTTGCATGAAATGTTTCTGGCCCGCAGCAGAACCCGTTTGTGTCTCATTTATAATTGATTTCACTCGTGCGGCGAGGCGGAGATTTTAAAACTATATTCAACCATTGTAAACTGTTGACCCCCGAGCAGTAGGTTTCAAATATTTGTGTGCATGCTATGGCGGCTTTATTGGCAAAGTTGGCCAGAACTAAGTATTTTGATTAGACGGCAAAGCCCCAGGTGCCAGTTAAGTCACATCTTGGCAGTTTAAAGTGCCCGTTGGTAGTAATTAAGTGGCAAAGTCTTGCACTCCGGTCTCGAGTGTGTATGCATGTGCAAATTTGTGCCACATAAACACCCCTTCGTCGGGAAAAGTTTTTGGCCAGGAAAAACTCGTAATGGCGTTGATGACATGATGAATGCTCCACATGAGTGGCGGACATCCGTTACTTGGGCATGAGTGGCAGGGTCGCATTGTGTGCTTTGCCTGCCACCGAAAAAAGGATGTCTGTCCGCCTGGGGTTGGTGCGAAGTCAGGATCATGCCCTCTGTTGTTATATCCGCACTTAAAGCCAAACAATGCGGTGCAGATGATGTTCCATTAAAGGTGTTAAGCCTGTTTATGCACGAGAGTCCTGTGTCGTCGGATTTGCTTCATGAACTACTCCAACAATTAAGCTCTCAATATAAATTTATTTGCAGGAAACTGTGTAGTCCAGCGACCACGCCAGTCGGATCAACTTATTCGAGAAGGCAGCAGCAAGCGGGTGAGTAAATTAAAGCGAAATCCAAAACAACTGCAATTTAAATACCAACCCAACATGGTCCTAGTAGTTAATTGTGTTTTATTTATTAACGCATTTAAATGAAATTACCAAGTCCGAAGGCAAATAAGTGCAAATTAATATTTCATTTATTTTTATGCCCGGCTTTGTTGAGAAAGTGCTTTCTAGCGCATTTACATAACTAAAAGTTAAGCCGGTGAAAAAACGGGCAAGCCAGCTGAAAGTTGAAAACATATTTTTGAACGAAATGTGTGATTCGTGTGTTGCACGTGTCGGCACGTACTGGGGAAAATAGGAAATCATGAAATATAAATAGAACTTCAGCTGGAAATAAATTTCGTTCTTGTTTGTGGCACCGTTTAATTATGAGTATACCCGGCGTATACGTAATGTAGCCGTACAATTCCAGTTTATTGCACCACTCATGGCCTCCGCCTTCGGGGAATATTCTTTCGTTTCAGATCTACTCCTTGGACGACGTCGAGTGCAGTGAGCTGTGCAGCTGCGGCGAGTCGCTCACCCTCACCTGTCACGCCCTCTGCGTGCCATTCGCCCCATGTCGCACCGCCCTGGCCTTCTACAGCCACGCCTCACCCGCCTACCAGGCGTTCCGCGGACGCTGTTTGTGCTACTCGGGCCGCTTCATCTGCATGAAGCCGCCGCTCGGGGAGTACATTCTGCCAGGTGAGTTGCGAGTTCCCCTTCTAGCGCGTCCTTTCTCTGGCAAGGATACTCCTTGCTGCACTGCTGAGTTGGCGTGTCGGGTTCCCAGTGCGTTAAGCACTTAGCGATTATCGCCGGCGACAGGCAATGACGAGGCAGGGCTGTCAGAAAGAATGCAGCAGCATTTTTGTGTGCGGCTGTCCGCCTTTGAGGTTTAAGAACCCCGCACGAGGTCTACACTTGGAACACAAGTTATATGGGGCTGCCACAGAAATCACAAGAGTTTTGAAACTAGTTGTAAAAATATGCAACAATTTGTTTTAAAAGCATATTTTTCAAAACCCTTATATAAAATTGCCAAATCTAAGTTTTTAGAGGGCGAAATATATTTATTGAAAGACAGACTATGAGAATGCTGGTAAACTGATTTTTTAAAATTGTTGGTTTTTCTTTTAGAATAAACTATTCAATTTTTGTATTCTTATTAAGAAAGGTCTATGTTATTTTACTAAACTAAAACTGTTACAAGAATAATTAAATCCAATTTTCTCATAATTAAATCAATCCCAAATTTAACATATATTGTTATTTACTTGGCAAAATGAAGAATATATTTTTTGCAATTACTCGCTTAACTAAAAGAGGATTTCGCCATCACCTTGACAAATTTAAAGCCGATTCCTTTGCCAGTGCAGTCCGGACACATTTCTTTAAAGCCTTTGTCAGAGCACCTCATTCGTAGAGGAGCCACTTTAGACCGTATTTGACACAAAAGAAGGACCCATTGTGTCAGCAAGGTTGCGTGGTCCTCGTCCACTTGCCACAAGGCACTTGCGTGCGTTTTTGTGCGCGGATGCCGGCAGTAAATTACGTTTGCTGCAATTGATGTTGCACTCGCTACATATTTCGACCCCTTCTGCTTCCAGGTGGGATATTCCTACTGCTGGGCTACAGTGCCGCCGACGAGGCTCTGCTGAGGCCCCACACCAACCTAGGGGTGCAGGATGCCGTGCGAGCCCTGCAGCAGTACGTAACCACATACATCGATAATCAGGTAAGCCGCCGGTCGGGCGAACGCTTAATAAAGTATGGCCAGCCATATATTAATTGCATTCCATCGCTGCCCTACTCTTCCCCCGCTTCAGACGCAGTGCACCCTAACCCTGTTTAATATGACCGAGGAGAACATCATCATTGCTGCGCGTTTGCCGCACGACGGCAAACTAAAGGACATTGAGCTGCTTCGTAAGGAGAAGGTTCGTTGAGATGCCACAGGCAACACACATATACACAGAGAAAAATATCAATACTATCATCGATTTTTCCTTGTCTTAAATTTCTAAAAAACTATCAAAAACTAATTGTTTTCTATAAAGAAAAGATCTGAGCTGAAAAGATTTTCCATTTGAAAAAGTCTCTACCATTTTGCATCTATATTCTGATGCGATTTTGCATTTCAGACATTAAATATTGTAGCTGTCAAAAAAATAAAATTATTTTTAATCATTTTTGTACATAGAAACACGAGTTTAAATATATCAAATAATAAAAGAGAGATTGAAAAAATGTATATACAAGTACATACCACCTTATTTCTTTAACAAATCTCGATATTAGAAATACCCACATTTCACAGTATTTTTTAAAAAAGTTTCGTTGGCTAAACCACTTAATTTTTCTCTGTGAGCCGAATGGCCAAGTCCATTTTCTCAACTAATCCAATCGACGACTATTATTGCTTATCTGGCTGTTTGCAGGACGAGTGTACCGCGATACTGAAGACCATCAGTCATCAAATCAATAGCGAGCACAGTGAGCTCCAATCCCACCGACTGCTGAGCATTTTCAAAATGTCCGAAGTCGAGGTCGTATGGCCGGAGAGCACCAGTGCGGCGGCCCGGAGTGGACACGGTCCGGGTCAGTTTGCCGGATGCCAATGCCACCGGCTGCTCTACGCGGCGATGCTCGCCCTGGCATATCTCTCTAGCTGGACAACGCTGCGGATGAGCGATGTGGCGACATGACAGCCGCATAGCTGAAGGATTAGAGCAAGGACAATTGCATAACTGTACGTAGTAGATATTTTATGTGGAGCGATAGCGATAACTCTAAATTATAAAGATATGGAGCATACTCTTAGGCGCCGCACATGGCATATTGCAAAATATCATAATGTGTTGTATACATCTAGGGGCTAGTTCTGTATTTAGCTGCGATTTTTGTGAAGCTTTGTTGTTGACCTCTGGCGATGTTGCTGTCTCTTTTGATACCTACATATGTAAAGCATTATGGTATATACAAAACATGTAGAGCATACGCCTAGAAAACTTATCTAGATTTATCTATAATTTAAAGTGAAAGGAAACTGCTGTCTACATAATAATATTATTAGCAAATAACAGAGACAAACTCGATAGTTGGATTTGATGTGACGTGTATATAGAAGGCATTCGTATTAAGTACTATCCGTAGCTAGTGTTTTATACAGTAAACAATACACACAACTCCTGTCTGTCCGTATGTCCGTCTGTCCGTTCGTCATTATCGCACCCAAACGCACACAGCATTCAACAATTAACGCCCATTGCTTCGCTCTTATTGTTTGCTCTTTAAGCACTATAAAGTTCTTGGCTGCCTCAATTAAAAAGAATTATTAACCGCCTTTACAGTGTTTACTTTGTTAAAGGATGTGAGTGCCTCTCCTGGATATGCCAGCTCTCTTTTGATTTTTAATTACATTTTAATGTGGTCTGGCCTCCGCAATTTTCCTTCTGCTGGGCAAACAAATAATAGTCAGGCGTGCGAATGAACTCATTTAACACTCGCGTTCGCGGATGAGCGTGCAAAACGATATTGTTAATTTATTTCATAGTTTCAGTTTCGTTTGGAGGCGCGAAAACAATTACGGTTTCATTATCAATTATGCGCTATGCATTTCGATTGTTGCCACAATTTCAGCGGGCCGAGAGCCTCGACCTCGCCTCGTTTCAACAGGTTTCATTGCTTGCCCCAGAATCCTGATTACCTCTTCAGTTTGCTGTACATACTCTTAACAACTTGAACTCAATTTACGTAATTAATACTAACAGTACATATCAATATGAACACCTAAACGAGTTTTACACAGAAACGAAATTCTTACAATGTCCCTCGATTGCTCGAATCTTTTGTACATAGTTCTTTATATGAAAACTATACATAGTATTTACAACGATATACAAAAAACACGCCTAAGTCAACCTTATAAACTATTTGTGACTACTTGATTCCCTTGAAAAATGCTTAAAAGAACTGTAAATTTAACCAAACTTCAGTTGAGCCTTAAATAAAGTATGTAAAAAAGAGGAAAAATTGCTATTGTAAATAAATAAGTAACAACACCTGAGTGAATGGAACATCTATGAATATTATTAATTGAGTGTTTGACATATAGACACACGCACTACTCACTTTAAGTCTAAGCTTGACCATTTGAACTTGTAGCGGTGTGAAATGTGCGGATATTAAAAATGGTCACAATCATGAAAAAATGTCTTCCTTAATGCATATACTTGGCGATATGTATCATGTTTATACACATATATATATATACACATACTAACCTATACGATATCTGGCAAGTCCCTAGCCTGCGCTTCAGTTAGACAAAGAATAATGTAATATAGACACCAAGGGCTAAACCATATCACTATCGAATATCCTTGCAAGTTATAACACTGTTGACACAAAAAAATACTAACCGCAGCATATCTAAGTTAAATATGCCCCTAAATAAATATATATTTAAAAATATAATGAAATATACATATGCGTAAAGTTATGAACGTTAGAAAGCATTGAAAACTACTTTAATAGTCTCTAGAGAAAGCAACGCTTTAACCTAAAACTAAAGGCAGCAACAGCAGAAAAGTGTAAAGTTTATTGGAAACCTGCTTAAAATAAAAAAATCTAGCTAAATATTAGACGAATTTAAGGCAATAAACTTACTAAAGGAATAGAGCAAATTAGTAGAATTGTTGGGGCATTGGATTTTAGTTCATTTGCTATCCTATCCATATCGTTTAATGGCCAACGAAAGCAATAACCAAGTCGTTATAGTTTTGGAGCATATCAGTGGCAGGTCGAGTGTATTGTTTCATCTCATCCCCTCACTTTTAGGGTGCGGACAAAGCGTAGCTACAATGTAAAGTACCGTTAAAGAAAAAAGATAAATGAAAAGTGAAAAATGAAAAATGATAAATGAAGAACAAGAAGTAAAGGAAGAAAGGAAACTACAAAACAGTCGCATTAATGTAAAAAGAAACAAAATGCAAAAGGAGAACTAGCACTCAAATGGCAATCTAAAGCATGGAGTAGGGCGAATTCGAAAGGCATCGTAATAAACCTTAAACACAGGAAATACTTTAAAAATTATGCATGAGGAATACGAGAGCCACACTTTAAGTTTAACACTGTAAGTTGAAACCTTAAAAGTAAATGATCTATATATACGATATGTTAGGAATGCAGACGAGTGTGTGTTTGTAAGTTACTGGGCTTTATGCTAGCGTATACAAACCAATTGAGGTGCATGGATAAAGATAGATTTAATTATGAAATTTGGAGTAATGCAATGCGAATGGAAACCAAGCGATACGTCGTGGCATATTTGTAATAAATAACAATGTAAGTGAAACAAAAAAAAGCAAAAAATAAATAAAACCACAAAGTATAGAAAATAAATAATGGAGTTTGATTTTAGTTTGTCACTTGGTAAGTATAAATCTAGGGTTTAAATCGAAGGATTTTATTTTATATTTCAGACACATCTACCAAATAAATATTTGAAATTTGATAGGCATTTTTGCATTGTTTTAGTTACGTAAGAAAATAAGATTTACTAGAAAGCAATTTCCATGCAGTAAAAATGGACGATTGAACTCGTATAAAATCGGCTTATATTCGTTAAAGGCTTCGGTTTTTTTTGATAAAAGCTTTACTGGGACACATGACTGTCGATGTGCACTTCATTATTGACCCCCAAAACGCCTCCCAGCGATCGGCAACTAAGTATGTGACACTATCGAAACGAACAAAGGCGGCCACACAATGGCGTGCCAGGGAGTGCCGGCACTGAAAGAAACGGGGGGGCGGTGAACAACAAAGACAGCGCAATATGAAGAAGACCTGCACACTCGCCAACAAACCAGAGTAAACAAGGGCAAAAAGGCGGCAGCAGAAAAGCAAAACGAACTGACTGAGGAGAAAAGAAAAGCCAACCACACAATGCCTTTGTATGTGGGGGCATGGAACAAAAGATGAGTCGAAGACAAAGACACTTGCTCAAGGCAACGCCGTTTCATGGCTTAAACTCAAGTTCCCTGGGAACCACTCGACTGCATTCCACATACACACAAGCACCACCACATCTACATCTACATCCACATTCACAAACACACCCATACTCGAACAACAAAGAGTAAGGTCAATCATTGGAATTTTGCCAGTTAATTCGCATACAAAAGGCGGTGGCCCAGAAGAAACGAAAATAACACAACCTCCTTCCTTTTTGCCTGCCTGCTTGCCTGACTGCCCCTTTTGACCCGCCACGCCCATTGGCATGCTGAGTTTGGCATTTATACTTCCACTTAATTAGGTAATAAATGATTGAAGAAATTATGTCTAGACGTGAGGACAATTTCGATGCCTCGGCTGAAGCTCACACACACTCAGCAAATTCATTCCCGGCACGTGAGGGGTTGAAATGTTGCGAATTTCCACACAATCACACATGCTACTACTGCTCTGTGACATACATTTGAATAGGATTCGTATATTATTCTCACCGCGCTGCCCGTGATTTGAAAGCAAGCATAAATTGTAAACATTTTCTTTTGGATTCAATTTGTATAACCTGCTGCCGCTAAGTGGCAATGCTTTTACACAGAGAACCTGCACAGGCATACATATTTATTTCGCATTTTATATAGCTTTCACAGGACAGACGGCGCCTGAATAGCAAAACTGCGATGAAACCTAATGAAAGCGGGAACGCGGCGGATACGCGATGCGGGCATACCAGTTCATTAATATGGTGCACATGCTGAAGGTCGATGAGTGAGCTATGTTCATAAACACAAAGAGAAATATACAACGAAAAAATGGTTATGAATTTGAGTACACCTGACAGACTGAATTAAATTGAAATTTTATCTACTTTATTTTTATTTTAAAATTATTTTTGCAACTATACCTTGTTCAATCAAATTGGCTATAAAAAAATGGGTTGAGAATTGAGATTTAGTAACTAGGGCCTATCTTGATTTATTTAGGTTTCTAAACATAAATGATAAATGATTAAAAGTGAATCTTTAATAGTTATTATTTAAAAAATATTCATTGACAAGTGTCTAGATTTTAAGATTGTTTTCCATTTAAAAAAAATCTAAAATGTTAGACGTATGTAAGGAAAACTATTAATTTTCCAGCCGTGAGCTTCCATTCAACAATAATCTTAAATAATTTATATAAGTTTCGTAAAAATTTTAAATAAAAAAAAGATATAGTCATTTTTATTCCCTCTGTACAGGAGAAGTCATGCATGCATATTTATCAGGCGGCGATGATTACGTGTTTGCCATTTTATTGCTAAAACTGTTGCGCCTTTTTGTGTGCTCCAGTAGCGCCCTCTCTTTCGCTCCAATTCTTCCCATCTCTTTCTACGGGAAAAAGGGCCTCTGTCTGTTTGTGACTTTGTTACTGCTGCTGGCTTTGTTCTACTTGGAATTGCCTTTTATTTTGTGCTAATTGAAGTTGCTGCCATCATATTTTTTCCCCTCAAAACAGGCCACACTCACCCACATACATGTTTGCCGTTTGCCTTTATTGCCGCATCTATGTTCTGCCTGTTTTTGCAATTTTAATTAAAAACGTGTTTATAACAGCGCAAAATGCTGATGAGTGAGCAGAATAATTTATTTCGAATATATACATTATAGAAATAGCAGAATTACACAGAAGTAAATGCACTGCGTCGGTTGATTTGAATCAAGCTCATTAATGGCAATTTTTCATCTGGATTTTATTTGTAAATACGTAAATTCACTCAAAGGATTAGATTATCTCAACGTGAAAAAAAACAAATATTAGGTTTCATCAACTAGTTACAATATATTACAATTTTTACCAAAAGTTTTCAATACAAGGAAAAGGAATTTGATCCAATTGATGAAATTGGAGCATAAAAATGGTGAAAATAATTAAGATATAATAAACTTGATATGTTTTTTGAAGCATATTGAATTGCTTTTTCATTTTAAGGAAGAAAAAATTCCATTAATTGTACCAAAATCAACCATACAAAATAGCAACGAGATGAAATAAAGTTGAAATTTCTGTCGACATGGCCTGAAAGTATGCAAAATTTTTCTCTGCAATTTATTGCACATAAGGTGGTGAACACACACTACCGCACACACCCATTGCCACATAACGAATTCCTTTGCATAACGCTGTGGGGAATGTATATTGCCAGGATGCTGAAAGAAGAGCCACGGCCACAAGGAAATATGCACCGCAGCATCCTCAGCTGGAGACGCCTCAACTTCAGAATCAGCCTCAGCCACAGCACAAAGAATTCAATTGAATTGATATTCAAATGCGCTTTGCCAGCAGAGGCATCCATTATTTGTCGATTTTACACATGGCACATGGCAAATGTAAGCGAAAAATGTACGGTTCGGAGAAAAATAAGCCATGCATATAGAGGTATTCAAGGGAAGTGCGAATCCCAGTTCTAGTTTTCATTAGAGCATTTTTACCCGTTTCCCCGCGCCAATGATCAGTGAGCCCTTTTTGATGGCTTCGATTGCTCCGTCGGACTGTGAACTATTTTTACGCTATTTGCCAAAAACCCATGGAACCAGCACCTTTGGCCCGGGAAAATGCAACGAAACATGGCCAGGACGCAGGAGAGCTGCATTTGCATAACGCGCTTCCCCAAGGAACAAAAAGCAGGTCTGCAGAAATGTAAAAAGGGTCCACAGAAGAAAAGACCTTACCAGAACAGTTTCCTAAGCAATATTCTCAGCAATACTATTTCAACCGAAGGAACTTATATAATCAAAGACTATGAAAAAGTATCGTAAAATAATTTAAAAACTAAATAATGAAGTGCAAGGATGGAAATTTTTAAATAATGATTTCTATTCCCAAAATTTCGTATATGATCGAAAATTAATCATTATACGAAATTAAAACTCCATAAGATATAAGAGAAAATAAGTATCCAATAATAGTTTTATCAAACCTTAATATGAGCTTCAGACTCGACAATAAATAAAAGAAAACATATATTCTTCAAAGAGATATAATTATGGTAGGTTTGATTATCTATTACCGTTTTTAAATAATATCCCAGAAACTTCTTAAAAATATATATAACTTAAGTTATCAATGCTAGTTCTAGCAAACATATCTTCTAAAACTAAGCTCTACGTTGCATGTTCAACATGAAATATTTGAAATCAATGACCAGTTTATTTCCCTGTGTATTATCGAGACAGATAGACAGGCTCAGGCTCAGCGTTCGATGCGCGCCAGACAAGCAGCCAAGTGCAGAAATAACACAAAATAGATGGCAATGCGATGGGGAAAATAATAGAGGCGGAATGGAAACAAAAAAGTATATGCATGCTTCTTTATAAGTATGAACGTAAGAAAAACTGCTAAGGAGCCAAATGCTCGAGCATTTGCAAACGCGGCAAAGTAGCGAAAATTTGCAAATTGATTGCATTCCTGTGCCTGGGCTTCGGTTCGAGCCAGAGCTCAAATATGAAATCTTGGAGGAGTGCAAATTTTGCACATTTTCTCTGGCAACTTTGGGAATGTGTTTCTCACTTGATTTTTTTGGTCGAAATCGAAGGAGAAACAGAATTGGCAAAACAAAAGCCCAGGAACTAGGCTGGAGCCCAACGTGCAAGTTTATTACATTCCTCAGTTCATTTGAATGCCCCTGCTGCTTATTCGGCGCAAATCAAATTATGCAAATCTCCAGTTTAATTACGGGCGGCAGAGCTCAACTTTAAATCAATTTTTATATTCGTATTCGTTCTGTCATGCTCTGTCCTGGGCATCTCTTATTTTATTCGTGAGCATCATTTGAGCGGCAAGTCTTATAAAATATTCACACACTTTGACACACTTTGTCTGCAGGGCAGAGCAGAGCAGAGTGTTTGACGGGCAGACACAAACCCCGAACGAAACAAGGCGAATTTTGTTGGCCAACAAAATGACACTTAGTGCAAAAACAGGAGAACACATGCCTAATAAATAATTCAGTGCGCAACAAGCGAACAACAAGCGCTCTTGTGGCACCACTGGAATTCCACTGACCCACCGCCACCACCGTTGCCATTCCCATTGCCATTGTTATTGCCACCCATCCCCAATGCCAGCTGTTCGGACCGAGCCCATCCAAATTCACACAAGATTGAAATCCAGTCGGATGTGTCCGCTCAAGTGTGGCGTGTTATTCGATGTCCTTCAAGACGGACGTCGTGCCAAAGTCCGGCGGTCCGAAGATACATATGCGGGTCATTTGCCGGCCGAATGAACCAAGATGAGGGGCAGCATTATATTTGAGGGATGTGGCCACGACAGAGAAATCTCGTTGTGTTCAAAAGAAACGAACAATTCAATAAAACAACACGAAAATCTAATACAGAGACACGGAAATGCTTTTAGTCTCG